GATTAAGGGGTGGTAATCTTATAATGAGCCCCCTTTGCCACGTCACCAAGGAATCCAAATCAGACGCGCTCGTTTTCTCAGTCACTTGCAGAAAAAGGCTTACCAAAGTTACTGGGTTAATCTTTTTCACGTTTCCTTGATTGGTAGATGCACCGGGGACATGATTTATAGCATTTAAAACCTGGAAAAGTCAGATTTTCATGATATATCACCTTTAACTATAATAACCCTGCCTAAAACTTGCATAAAATATGTGGATGGAAACAGCTAGCTAGCTTGTTAGCTAACAGTCCCTTACATCTCTCTCTCTCCTCAGGAGTGTTGCCTGCACGGTTGTAGAGATGCTAACCCAGAAGCCCCCGTGGGCTGAATATGAAGCAATGGCAGCCATTTTCAAGATCGCAACCCAGCCGACTAAGCCAAACCTGCCCGAGGGTGTGTCTGACGCATGCAGGGACTTCCTGCGGCAGATCTTTGTGGAAGAGAAATTGCGGCCCACTGCTGAGGGGCTTCTCAGCCACTCTTTTGTCCAAGGCAGCTTCTGATCCCACAGATCTTGGATCTCTCTGGAATCCCCAGGGAAAACCACACACCTGCCCGCGGACAATCACCACTCTGCCTTCCAGGGTCCGGAGAAACCCACCAACCAGCCAACTAAGAACAAACGTGACCATAACGAGGGGGTGTGTATCTCAGATCTCCCCAACGCAGCTTGAAAAATATCATAAGAGGGAACCTACGGACAGCAAAACCGTGATAGCATTTCCTATATTGTTAATCAAAGCCCTGTCCCAAATGACGCACTTGGCTTGAGACCGCAGGGTGTCCCATTTCTTATTTCCTGTGCTACGCACCCCTTTTGCTAAATGGACCCTTCTCACGTTTTCAGGGTTTCTCAGAAGCAGTTGTTGTCATAGTTGGGTAAACTTCTACAGCAAATATAATTTTGCGTTCCCGTTCCAAAAGCAAAAGCAAAAAAATCCATGATCGCATTTTCACAACTTTCCAAAAGAGAAAAAAAATATAGTGAGATTAATTATAGCACCCAGAAGAGAGAATGATGTCAAAATGTCAGCAGTGTTAATTATTATTTTGTAATTTACTGTCAAAGTAATATAACACAAATTATAGCACTATAAATGTATAAAAAAAATGAAAATATGACAAACTTTACTAGATTTGCGATGTCGATAACCATGGAAACGCGTCATCACAGTCTGAAAAGGGACCAATGTTTACAGCACACTATTACCCAACATTCCTTGTAACAAATGACATAAACTTTAAAGGGTGGTGAGAGCTAAGAGTGGATCGGTGACATAAACCTTTTTTTTTTTTTTTTTGGCAAAATCCATTAATTTATCCAAAAATAAATGTAAATTAATTCAATAGAACAGTTCTTATAATTAAGCCTCATTAAAATAATTAAATGTTTTGAAAACAACAACAACTTAAGTAGATTGGCATAATATAGAATATTTTTTTTAATAATTAATGATTAATAATAATAAATAATACATAAAGTACTTTAGGTTGCAAAATGTCATGTGGTGTGACTCCCCAAAACTTTAATAATATTTCTGATTAAATAATTTATGATATTTCGGGGGTTATTTTTTAACTTTGTAAAAGTCACAACACAAAAAAAAAATGAGTTCACATTAATCACAAATATGAAAAATTATTAAGATGTGTATACTCAATGTGTATTTAACATGTAAGGATATTATTATTACTTTTTTTACTTTATTGTTACACCACATTACATTTTTATAGGCATTTTTTAAAATGGTATAAAGGTTTTCATTTAAACCATATAAAATCATATAATAATTCATTACTAAAAATGTCCACAAACTACTTATAAACTACATTTTTAAAAGATTTTTTCCTTTTCTTTATAATGGACACTCCTATTTGTCATTGCCATTTGGGACAGAGCCTTTGGCTAGGGATTGATACAATGCAGTCGAAGTGCCAACACTTGGTATACTGGCACAGACTGGCACATAAAGTGTCACTGCCCAAACAGTACTGATTACAATAGCTTAGTTTACATGCATTATTGCCGGTTGACTTTATCTGATCCCCGATGCACTTGAAACCAGCCCAAGTGCTCTGATGTGATACTACAGGGGTTGCTGAACAAATCACAAACTGTCTTTGTTTGGCACAAATGTATTGGAGTGTTATTTTAAAGTGGCAAGAGTTAAAAATGTGGTTGTTTAACAGAATTCATTTGGTCATAAAAGAGAGTTGATTTTGATTATGGCTCATGTACCTCTGCATCCCTGGGTCCAATCCTGAGTGTCATCGAAAATACATTGAAAAGACCTCATGGAGCAATTATAATGATATATGTACTGTACAATACTCATTTGAGTAACTTTTTTGTTAAGATTACTGTGTTCGATGGTTAGAATCTAACCAAATAAGAATGACACAGCGTAAGACATATGCAACCACCAAAGTGGTATGAGACAGAGAAATGTGTAATTTTTTTCATGTCTTTTCAGCTAATGAAAACTATAAGCACATCTTTTTATATTATGTAAAGTTTTAGCTAAAGCACTCTTTACCCAGAGATAATCACTGTAAATACATTCTCATTGCACTCTTGGACTCATGCATAGAGCATATAGGATAATCAGCTGAGATTCAAACGAATATTTTTATACATTTTTTCAATTCACGTTTGGAATGACAATGCCAAACATTTTGTATTATAAAAATTACCCTAAAGTGTCAAAGCAATATTTCAGAGAAGACTACTAGGCTGGTGTGTTAGCAATCTTGTACTGTTCACTCAGTCGAATACAACCAAAGAGTGAGATGCTTGAATTATGAATTTGGTCACTTCAGAACTGTTCAGTGTTGCTGAAACGGTCTCTGTCTTGATTTGTAACCCATATGGTGAGTTTCTTTCTTTTGTTGACTCAAACTATTGCTTACTGATGTGCAAACATTTTCCTTGTCATTGTGAAAGTAAATTTACGGAATAGTTCAGCCAAAAATGAAAAATTGCTAAAAATGTACTCGCCCTCAGGTCATCCAAAATATAGACGAGTTTGTTTCTTCATCATAACAGATTTTTGAGAAATTTACTATTACATCACTTGCTCACCGATAGATCCTCTGCAGTGAATGGGTGCCATCAGAATGAGAGTCCAAACAGCTGATAAAAACATCACAATAATACACAACCCACTCGATTACAGTGAAGCAAAAAGCTGTTGTGTTTAATATTTGTAATAAACAAATCCATTGTTAATAAGTTTTGAACCATCAATCTGACGGCACCCATTCACTGCAGTGG